AGTCTTGATCCAGAAGCAATTAGTCTCGTTGAATGCTTCCGGTAAGTCGGCACGACATCCTCTTTATCTTCTTCCTTCTAAGCCGCTGCTTCTCCGACGTATTTGCGTTCTATTCATATTTTTTACTGAATATTTATAGTTTTTATGAAAACAAAAATCTCCAGTTTCATGAGAAACTAAGAAACAACCCATGGTCTTTGGATTTTCATGTTAACTGATCACCATTTTCATTCAATTCTCTCTTTGGGGCTCTCCCATAACTATGCTTTACAGGTTTGAAGTACTTCTAGTGACTTATCCATCTCAAGAAACAATCCAAGGAGTCAAGGGCAGAAGGAGTTGTGGGTAGGGTTTCAGTACAAGTTTCTTGCAAATTTAGTTGAGTAAGCGAAGGCGGCATGGAAATCAGCAATTGACAATTAACTCTCTCCAAGTAGAGCTTAAGGAAGCGAAGAAGAGAAGGGTTTTTTTTATAAAGATATCCACGAGGTTTCCAATTGATCTGAAGAGAATCTAGATAGTTTTTTGTATTATTTAGTTCATATTGTTAGAGAGATTGAATATTGGTCAAGATATGTATGTTTTATTTTCAATTTTTCATAAATATACCTCACTCTAAGAATTCCACGAAGCAGCCATGATCAGTCAGCTCATAAACATTCAAGCTTTAAATTTGATTATTTTACGTCACAGAAAAATATAAGCACTAGCATATACTATTTCATACAATACATAGTCGCCACTAATATTGTCGTCTGTGATCAAAATAGTAGTGACAAAAGTGTTCTTTAGTGACAAAGACCCCATAACTTAAGGTATAGTGTGATTGAAAAAAAAATTATCAATGTTGTAATTGGAACAATAAATTTGTCACAAAAAAATGAATTTGTGACACTCACACTGTTACGAAAACCTCCTTTTATCACAAAAGTACCGTCAGAAGTGAGACTCGTTTGTGTCAAGTTAAACCGGTGATAGTTAAAATACATTTGGTGAAGGGAATAACTCGACACAAATTTATAGTGTTTGTTACAAGCAAAAGTTATCACGATTGAATGCATTTTATGTGATGAAAAAACTCGTCACGAATAGAGCATATACATGTCGGTTATAATAGTCAAAAGTGTTGCCAAAAATGGTGTTGCATATAGAGTATACATATGTAACACATATATTTGTTGTTACAAAAGGTAAAAAAATGTTACATATTACTTTATACAACACCACCTATAGGGGACACTATTAAAAGTGTTCCATACTGTATATGCAACAATTTAGCCACTTTTTACAACATATTTGAAGTGTTGTCGAAAGCCACTTTTCCCGTAGTGAGAAGTTGTACTCGAGTGGGTACTGGTAGCCTGCTTGTTGGTTCTTATCCACCTGTTGAGATTCTTCTTCATATGAAGGGAAGGATTGATGATGAACTCCAGTTCCATCATGATACTCCGGCCTCCAGCTCGAGTCTTGGTACTCCTGGTGGGGATGATCTTCGTATAATACACTCCCATCGTGGATACCAGATGTTTGGCCATCTCCAGAATGACCTACACCGCCTTCGATGGACTCGGTGTAAACGAACATCTCTGCTTGCTTAATTTTATTGGTGGTCAAAAATTGGACCATGGCATCAAGTCCTCCTGAGTGGTAAGGAGGAATTCCTCATTCCATAGCGACCCGTCATGTCTGTTTGGATATTGATACACCATTTGATCAACTCTTCTAGTGCCATCCATGCAGGTAATCTGAGTGCACGTTTGATGGAGCTCTTCAAGCATCGGTCTCGTACAGACCTTCATTTTATAAAAATTGCCACCAACGTAACTTACACCCTTTTCGGTCTCTTCCGTGTAACTATTCCACCGCAACCCAAGCGTGAACCTTTGGAATGCCATCTGCAATAAAATTGTAATTAAGTTACTAACATAAAATCACAAAGGACAATGAAAAGTAATACAAAACAAACTTACGAATTAACGTTAATCGCAAAACCTAAATAATTTAAAGGTGCACAACTGAAATTTGAAGAAGGAGGAGGAGTGAAGATTTTGAGTTCTCTGTAACAGCCTTTTATAGGCGAATTTTACAGTACAAAACCGCGCGGGGGGGTGGGGGGGACGGATTTTAGGTCTGCCATGCAGCCCCACCCCCTGCATGCCGACATGTTGGATGTCGGATGACCAGACACAAACCGCGCCTTGGGCCAGCGGTTTACTTTGCACAACCTGCTAGTGGGGGAAGCGGTTTATGTCTGCACATGGTAAACCGCGGCCTGGTTGTGCGGTTTACCAAGCTGACATATAAACGCTTCCTCACGAAGCGTTTTGTGGTAGGGCAGCCATATAAACCGCGCCTTCGAGGAGCGGTTTTACCTGAAATGGAAAACCGCCTGTTGACCAGGCGTTTCTGATGTAAACCGCACCTTGGTGGCGCGGTTTATATATTAACCGCCCCTTAGAGGCGCGGTTTTTAATAAACGGTGGTATGTTTGGAAATTGTTGGGAATAGATGGTATTTTTGTAAAAAAAAAATTAACAGTGGTAGTTTTGGATTTTTTTCCGAGGTTTTCCTTTCAAGTTAATGAAGGACAAGGAATTCCTTGCATGCTTAGGAGGTCTTCCACAAGACTTTTGTTGGTCAAAATTCATTTGCATCCCAATTTTGAATTTTCAGCGGCCTATACGTATAATCGAGGCCCTAGATGATTGAGTTTGACGCCCATTTCGGGTACACTCAATTTGCATGATTTATTTCATATAATTTTCCCTCTTTCATGTGATTGCTCTCTCATGTGGTTGCCCCAACATAAGATTTGAAGTTTATTGCAAGGGAAGAAAGGATTTTATGTATGAATAGAATCCATCTGGCACCCCAGCTTTTTGCACGTTTGCAAATCACAGGACCCCTTTACCTTTGGAAACGTTGTATTGAATCGTAATTGATTCTGGATGATGTTCTGGGCTAGTATAGATCGGCGGTTCTGGTGTCGTTTTTCTTTGGTACAGCACCTGATGATGTATGCGAATGACATGCCGTAGAAGTGTTAAAATTCATAGACATGCAATCGATGTATGCGAATTCCTAAAACTACAAAAACACACTTTGAGTGAAGATAAAGCAAATACAAACTATTATGACGATAAAAATGAGAAAACTATGTAATTTTTGTCATAACATATAGCGGCCAAAAATAATATCTTCTACGTGTAATCGCTCAACACTCTGTGTCTTTTAATTCTATTATTTTTCTCTGGTTCAACCACAACGAAACCCGTTGGTAAAAAAGTACTCTTGATATCACGTCACAAGAACTTTATACTCATGTTTCAATAACTTGAGTGATTTAAAAATATTTTTACATCAAAGAACAAAGGCAAAGCCATGCAACCTCGTTTCTCCATGCAATACTGACTCGGCCAATTGTAAAGGAACAACGACGAACGACAAAGGCAAAGTTACTTGATCATATTTTGCTTCCCTTCCTGCTTAAGCAACTTGTGAGAATTGGGTTTTGCTATACATCGCGATCACCAATCCATAATCAAACAATCGATTAAAGAAGATGGATCCCATTGAGTCATCTTCCATCTTCGTATAAACCAAAGATCAGATCAAACGTGAAAGCTTGTTTGCCTTTAAGCACAGAGAGATGCTTACATTGATGCATTCTGTAAAGTAAAGACAATTAAGTAGGCTTTAATCCTCCATGCAATATCATAAAGGGCTTAAAGGCTCTTGTCTTTCGAGCTGTCCATTAATTTGGACAACATTTAGGACGGAAGGAGAAGGGGGGAAGGGGGATTAATTGGATACTTGTTTAACACTACTGAGAATTAAAGCCAAAACTTTAGGATTAAAGACTTAACCAAGTGGAGTTTTGGTTCCAAGTTTAAACAACAATAAACTGTATTTGTCGGGGTGTAATTGGCTAGAGTTGGAATCAAATCTTAGCTTTGGTAAATAGACCATTGCTTTTTTCTTAAGCTTTGATGGATTTTCTTTCCTTTTGTTTAACTAAAGGACAAAGACAAGAAAAGCTTGTGTTGTGTTGTGTTGTGTTGTGCCCTCCTCTTTCCATTGTGATTTGCTCACTTAGCATTGCTTACATAAGTGTAGATCCTTTTAATGTACTAGGAAATCACAATTTGAGTGAAAAATGGACTCATTTTGAGTAAAAATTTATTCGTCATTTTTTGTTTTAAGAATTTATATAAAGTATAATCGACTTTCAGAATAAGTTAAATCAAGAGATGACGACATCCACAATAAGTCCAATAATAGAGAAGAAAATAATGTCATCTAGAAATGCTAAAAGTTATTTATAGATAAGTACTACAATTTACAAGTTAATATCCCTAATACTGCAAAATTAGTCTTTCTCATAACTTGATTGAATATTTTTTAAATGATATATTCTCTTTATCGAAGAATTTTATAGAAAATCCATTTAAACTGGGGGAAAAGAAAAAAAAATATGAACTATGTGACATTGAAAATAACAGAAAAAAAATCATGGCTACCTTATGACGAGAAGAAATCTAAATAATTCACTTGCAACAAGGAGAACCTTCATTTTCATTTCCTTTCATAGTAGTTACACATTTCAAACTTTATTGTACTATGTAGTACAAAACAGACATAATAGATCTATGAACAAAAATGCTTGGTTAGAACCAGAAAAACATTTAAAAAAAAAAACATAAACGATATCATCGATACAAAACAACCAAACGAGGTCATCTCAAACCTCAGCTAGCTAGCCCATGTCCCATGGTACTAACACTTTTTTCCCATGAATCTCATGGGATTAATAGTTAGATTAATTAGTAGAAGATCTCAAGTACATTCCATAAATTTGGAAAATGAAAGTGATCTCAAGATTCGCAATTGATTAATTTTAAGCATCTTTCTGGCATGTTCTCGACAAAGACAATTGGCCGCCGCCCTTTCCACTCACTTTATAAACATTAAAGAACAAAGTAACAAACAAATCGGCATACTAAACCAACAACGATAATAATGATATGATTTATGACGTTTTGATGGAATCATCCATAAAAACTAATTGTAAGAGCACACGACCAGCAACAACTTTTTTGGTCCCCATAATTACACCAACCATGGACCATAGTCCATTAGACAATATTACAATCAACCGAATACTAGCACTCGGGAAAAATTTACAATCACAACACTAATTAATAGTAGTAAAAATACCAATCCACTTATTAACACAACGTCCATACGAATAATGACCAATGTCGTTTCACTTATGGCGTTGGCAAGTTCGCTCGCTCTGCGACGTAACAAATTAACGGTCGTTTCATCTCCATTGACAGCTTTAGACGTTCAGATAGGTTCACAGATTGGTCGGTAGGTAGCCACTCGAATTGATGCAGAAATCGGGCGAGCCATAGCTGAACTGTGGTCAGACCTAGCGCTTTTCCAGGGCAGACCCTCCGGCCGGATCCGAACGGGGCGAGCCTCAGGTCGGAGCCCATTATGGATACATCCAGCTCGATGAACCGTTCTGGTTTGAATTCCCATGGGTCCGCCCACAAGGTAGGGTCGTGAGTTATGGCCCACATGTTGACCATGGCGGTAGTGCCAGCTGGGATGAAGGTCTTGTCCACGTGAACATCATGAATCGCGAGGCGAGCCCACGATAGGAGTGGGCCCGGAGGATGGAGTCGCAGGACCTCCTTGACGATTGCTTGGAGGTAAGGAAGGTTCAGGATGTCGGAATCCTGAACTTGCCTTCCTCGGCCGACTTTAGCGTCGAGCTCTTGCTGGGCTTTGGCTTGGATTTCTGGGTGCAACACCATTCTAGCCATGATCCACTCAAGAAGTATTGCCACAGTGTCTGTCCCCCGAAACACCATTTCCTGGAATCGTACACAATACCATCAAAACAATAAAAGTTACGAGGTGAAAGTAACATATTAAAGTTATTATGAGAACCAATAAAAAAAATGTACACTATGCTACATAGTATTCAATACTTTTTTTTTTTTTAAACACGCACCATTATCCATTAAAAGAGAATGTAACGCACAGAATCTATATATTCAAATTACCAGTTATAAAAAAGATTATTGATATAATCATAAATTTATTATCTTTCTTAAAAGATCTTTTTGCTTTTTTCCCTATTCCTAGTAGTCCCAAAGATTAGCTATTCATGAAAAGAAAAAGAATTAGTCCTAAATATAGTTAAGCAATGATTGTGCTAAGAAATCATATTTTGACTTACCCACAAAATTGGCACCATATCCGACTCCCTAAGCTGCTCGTGCTCAGGCAAAGAGAGCAAAGCACTGAGGAAGTCACGATGGTTTTCCTTGATGGTTGACTCAGGTCCAACCGCTATCTTCCTCCTTTCCCTGATGATTCGACCCAAGACAATGTTAACCTTCTCTGTTAGCTTAAAACACCGTCGTTTCACTCCAAAAAAGTCCAAAAATTTAACCGCCGGAAAGTAATCTTCCATGTTAAATTTCTCAATCAACTCAAACCCTTCTTTCACCATCGACCCTAACTCCTCCCTCGGCTCCAAAACTCCCTCAACATTCCCAAACACACTCTCCAACACATTATCCAAAGAACCCTTTTGCAAAACCTCCCTCAAAACGACGGCTCCACCTCGTCGTGCCTCGATCCCCACAATCATTTCATCGGCGATCCTCTGGCGGAGTGGCTCCAGCTCGGACAACTTCCTGGGGGAGAACATGTGGAGGGCGGCGATCCTGCGCAGGTGCCGCCAGTAGGTCCCGCCCGAGGGAGCGAACCCAATGGCACGCTCGAACATCAACACACGTGCTGAGATCTTAACGGGCCGGTCTGAAAAGGCCGGCCCACTCAGAATCTGTTTAGCAGTGTCAGGGTGGCTACTGATGACGACAGGCACGGTGCCTAGGCTAAACGCCATGAGCCGAGTGGCACCCATTCGGACAGCCGTGTTGGCCAGTTTTCGATGGGCGAGTGAACCCATCTCGGGCAAGGTGCCGAGAACCGGCCAACCGGAAGGACCGTGGAGTTTTGTTGGGTCGTAGTAGTTTCTCCATGCAAAGCCTCCCGGGACCAACCAGTACCTTAGGACAAAAGGTAAGAGGGAAACTAGGGAAATGAGTAAAAGATGGGTAGTGGTTTGTGTCCATGGAGATTGCAAGTTTATAACACAAAGGAGTACCAAGAAAGAGAGGTTGGCTTGAATTGAGAATTTCATTTGGGAAAAACCAAAAAGAAAGAAGAACAAGATTATTGGACGCCAATGGGTATGGGGATTTGGTCTCAGAGATGGACGCTTGGCAGGAGATGGATTGTGTTGGTGAGTTGATTAGTGTATATATAGTACGGGGAAAGTGCTTCTAGGTCATTCGTGTATAGATTATAATTGATTTCATACAAATGATCATATTATTAACTTCGACATTTGAAGTGGGCTTTTGACATTACCAAAAAAAAAAGGGCTTTTGATCGTCGGTTTAAGTATTTGTCTAATTAACTAAGAAAGGATCCAATTAAGAAGTGAAGTAACGTGTTCAACAGGTTTGTTGCTTTATCCAAGCTAAGTGATTAAGGAATTAACTCGTAGAGTTACTTTCATTGGTTAATTACCTTGATTAGTGATGATGTCATCCCCATGGTGATCGTGATGCAATACTAACCTTTTTATAAATATTACCTATTATCATTTGATGATTAAGATTTCTCGGTCTTCAAATATTTGCATAACCCTATACTTATCATTTATAGAAGGCTATTAACTTTCTTCCGATAAATTTTAAAAGGGTTATATCTCGTTTGTTTTAAATCAAAACTAGGGGGAAAATCGCACAAAAGATCAGATTAATTGTGTTCTTCAAAATAATATCTACTTTTATATACTTTGGAGCAAAAAAAATATGAGACTTTTGGTACCAGCCTATATCATGTGGTTGATATGTACATGTGACTATACCATGTGGTATAAAAGTGTATCAAGGTGGTATAAATATGCCACAGTGTAGAATGGTTGTATACATGATAGTAGGAATATATTAATTGTCGTTTACCACATTTCATCATTGTCTCCAATAAACTTTAACAGGATATATCTTTTCATTTTTGTCAAAACTAAAAAAATTGCAGAGTGTAAAATGTTTGTGCTATTCAAAATGACATCCAGTTTGATATACTTTGGAGCAAAAAAAATTGAGATTGTTATTACCAGTCCATACCATTTGGTACTGCTTGGTATGTACATAAGATTGTACCATGTGGTATGGAAGTGTATTAGCGTGGTATGAATATATCATAGTGTAGAATCATTGTATACATGGTAGTAGAAATATATTAACAGTCATTTACCACATTTAATCATTGTTTACCACCAGTTACCATCATGTATCACATCCTATCCCAGGGTGGTACAGGGCGGTATATTTGGTCCTGAAATTCACCCCCTAGAAATTCATAGATCTCATTGATCCCGATGAACCCGTTCTTTCCAGAAAAAGATTTTCAAAATTCGAGTTAAAACGAAGGTGATACCAAGGTGGTAACGAGTGAAATGAATTTTTATTCCGTCTGAACATTTATTATTTGTCGCTCATAATTTTAGTGAAAATGTCAGCGTCAGCTAGCAGTGAAGACTCAAAATATATTGTAAATGAATCTCATTTTGTAGATCACAACGAACTCATTCAGTTTGTTCAAAAAATTGAACTCCAAGTTATAACAAAAAAGATACAAACCAATTTAGAAACTAGATAAAATTAAAAAGTAATGTATTCTCAAACATCGTATCCGACCTCACTTAAAATCAACGGTACAGATCTGGCTATGCAAAAATTATCCACCCAAGAATTATTTATAATATCCTAAGCCTGAAGGCTTTGTGCAGACTTTATATCCGGTGAAAATCTTTTGTTTAACAGAATAAAACTTCATTTTCAAACAACTCATACCATAATTAAGTAAGTAGTTGTTTGGCATTCTGGTTAAATTTATATATTATAATTAATATATGTGTAATAGTATACATGGCATTAATAAATAAGTGCCTTATAAATCACATAGTTTAGGTTCTATCATTATGTTTTTAAGGTTTAAAAAAGTTATGTCACTTCATAAAATAAAAATCACATTTATATTTTTTTCTTTTTAATATATTACGCAAAAGTTAGTGATACGTCTGGAATAGATAAGAATCCGACAATCTCAAGTCAAACTTTATTCTTAACTGTGGTTTAACAATCATTCAAATTAAATACTTTTTCTGACACATAAAAAAAGGTGTGTATTCTCTTTATTTAAAATAAAATTGATAAATTGTAAGTATTACAAGTATTATACCCAAAAACTCCACCACCTTTTAATTAAGTATATAAAAATATGCTATGGTATATATTAATTTTTCTATGATCATGCAAATATTCCCTGCGAGGCACTAGGGCCAGATCTAAGGCTTTACTCTTGAAGACATTTGTTCTTAGGGATGTGCCTTTTTTTCTTTTCTAAAAAATATGAATGGATAGCAAGCACTTTACATATTCCTATGGTATAGTGTTGTGTAATTTCTGTTCCTTCTATTGTTACTTTTGAATGAATAAATTTTCCTTCAACGATGACTTGTAGACAAAGTGGCGGCAAGTAACCAGAATTTTATAATAGTTAGATCCTTTTTTAATAAATATTTAGATCGTTCACAGTGCCCACAATAAATTCTCACATGTTGAAAATTTTGTACTATTCATTCATATGATAGTAATTTATCAAATAATCATTCATAATTTTATCATTCATTCAATAATAATAAAAAAGAGTTATGATAGTAATTTATCAAATAATCATTCATAATTTTATCATTCATTCAATAATAAAAAAAGAGTTTTTACGTGTTTATTGTAAATGTCTTTTCAACCCTTGCAGTAAATGCTTACATAGCAACAACGCTGAATTAATTTTTTCAATAACCATTATCCTAAAAAGCTCATTAGACAAACTCCATTAATTTTTTGTACCTCAATTAATTTTTCTATCTAGTTTTAGTCTTTTAGACAAACTCTAGCCAACCTATAATCTAATTGAGGTTCAAAATATAAGATATTGTATTATTGTTAACTCATGATTAGGATAAATGGAAACTACCAAGTTTCAATATAAAAAGAAGATTTGGTGGAAGAAGAGGAATAATATTAAGAATCTAAGAACGAAAAGATTCAAGTTATATATTCTTGTAATATTATCTATGGAAAAACTAAATATATTATATTTAATGAAAACAAAATTCATTATTAAATTTTGGTTATGTGATAGAAATAAAAACTAATTTTATGATTCAAATCTCAAAGACATATAAATACGTATTTATATGTATACATTTTTTCTCGAACCAAGATGTGAGTTTCCGGCTCCCGTCAAGAGTGACACCTGGATTCTTGTTCAGCTACCCCCTTGGAAACGTCTTAGGGTGCGTTTGGATACAATGATTTGGATTTGGTATTTGTGATTTGGATTTCTAAATACCAAATCATGTGTTTGGATATTAATTACATTTGGTATTTGGATTTGTGTCAAATTCATGGGGTGATTTCCAAATACATGTCTAGTGTATTTTTTGTCAACTTCAAATACATTTCAACAACTAGTGATTTGAAATACCTCATAACAAAAAATTGGACCTATTTGTAAAATATGAAAAGTTTAGGTACTATAGTGTGAGGAAAAACATATAAAGGTACCAAAATGTAATTTTACCATCAAAATTTCAGGACCTTTTTGTAAAATTTTAAAATTTTAGGTACTAAATTGTAAGAAAAAATAAATTTGGGTACCAAACTGTAATTTACCAAAATTTGTAGTAAGTGACCAAAATTTAAAAATTCAAATTGAAAATCGTAAAATACAAACAAATTACAAATGAGTATCCAAACAATGAATTTGAATTACATGTATTTCAAATGCTAATATTTCAAATACATTCATTTCAAATGCTAGTATTTCAAATACCTTACATTTAAAATACACTTATCCAAACGCACCCTTATTGATAATAAATAGGTATTCAGTGTTAAATTTCGTCTCATTGGGACGATTAAGCTTCGTAAGGCTCGCCTAGTCCCTAAAGGATATACACGGGTTGAAGGAGTTAATTTTCATGATACATTTGTGTCGGTTGATAAGCTCGTCACTGTGTGTTGTCTTCTGGCTATTTTTTTTAGTAAGGGCTTGTTCATTCATCACCTTGACGTCAATAACACATTTTTACACAATGATCTCGATGAGAAAGTGTACATGTGTGTTCCATAAGGCTTTGTTGTCCCTACACCCTAGTGATACACGTGTTTGTTGCCTTCACAAATCATTGTATGGTCTTCGTCAGGCATCCAGGAATTGGTACGACAAGTTTACTTCAACTCTTGGTGAGCTTCAGCTCCGTCCCTCTCATGTAGACCGCTCTTTGTTTCTCTTTCATCGGGGGAGCACATTTGTAGTCGCCCTTATTTACGCCGGTGAGGTTTTACTAGCAATTAATGATCTTAATTTCATCTTTCATGCGAAGAATTTTTTGGAAGCGCGCTTCCGTATCAAAGATCTTGGCAACATTCACTACTTTTTGGGCATTGAAATAGCTCGTTCTCCTTGGGTTCTTGTCCTTAATTAGCGCAATTATGTCCTTGATATTCTAAAGATGATGGTGTTACAACTTGTTGTCCTAGTGGCTTCCTTGTTGAGCAAAATCATCATCATCTCACTCAGCCTACTCCTGTGGATCCACCTGACCCATCTACCTATCGTCGACTGCCTATTATAATTGACTAATAACCGGCCTGATATCGCATATGGCATCAACATCCACAGTCAGTTTGTACATGCACTACCCATGCATATATGGACACTATCGAGTGTATCATACGCTACCTTAAGAGCTCCGCTGAACATGGTTTGTTCATTCTCTTCTACTAGGGATGTCTGTTTGCACGTCGTTCTACAACATGTTATTTTATCACCCTTAGTGACGCCCCTTTCTCATGGCATACCAAGAAGCAGCGAGTCATTACTCGTTCATCTGCTAAAGCCGACTATTGTTCTATGGCTAGCACTATTAGTGGTCTTCTATGTGTTTGTGTTGGCTTCTAACTAAAACATGTGTTTTCCAATGCGGTCCTACTCCTTTTTTTATACAATCAAGTTGCTCCCTATATTGAGGCACGTCTAGTCTTCCATGTGCGCACCAAGCAT